TTTTGAGTAGATGAACCTGATGGTTCACCTGAAGTACATGTATATACATACAAAAGGCAATAACACTTCATTCATCGTAGTAAAATTAATTTTTATTTATGGAAACCTACTGGACTTGCAAAGTTTTCTATTTTCATTTAACTCTATCACAAGTTGGTTAAGCTTTAGTAAACCAGGATTTGTTGCAATTTTTTTTTGCTTTCTTTGCTTGCGGAATTTTTGAAAAAAAAAATACCAAGAGAATATATGATTCTATAATCGAATTTGTAATTAACTCTCTATAGATATTGTGCGAAATTTTTTTAATTTTTTCGTAAAAATATCGAAAGCTTTTTAGATTGTTCTCAGCTTAACGGTCACCTTAAAGGAGATGAAGATTTTAAATAAAAATAAGCTCTTCCCAAGGACATAGGTTAGTGTAGTAGAGATGGTAGAAATGAAGAAACAGCTTCCTGGCAGGCAGAGTTATTTTTGCAGCTAAGCTTGCAACCACTAAGTCCCATGTACGTGAAATCACCTCCATCCGTCCATGATTACCATCGGGAAGGTTTAAAGGTAGATAAGGATGAAAAGAGTGGAAACATCAGACATATAGGGGTGTGTGGTGGATAGGAAAACGAACTCAGGCATAACTAAGACCAAAAAAAAATAATATAAACTTGTCATTTAATCCCCGTTGACGTAAATGACATTTATAGACATCCATTGTGTTTGCTTATAGATGCACTTTCTATTCTTTAAACTATCTTTCAAGTTGCCACTGAAATTGGCGGTATTTGAGACAGAATTTTTACTAATTTAAACACTAGTAACTTTTGCCAAAATCGATTAAATAAAATTTCCAAATAACTAATATATATATGCGGTACTAATTCCACAGGATGCCCTACTCGTCTTTGAGATGAAAATTTTTTAGTTAGAAGTCGTTAAATTGATGAATATATTAATGGAAATTGAAGTGGGCGTTACTTCTCTTATAGGATACATATTTGTGTAACCATGCAATGTGTGTTCAAATAAAAACTCTTAGTTATGCACTTAGAAAGACCTAAAGCTATCGTAAAAACCTGAGTTGTTACTCGAACTTATTTATTTATTTTTTTGTTTTTATCTGTCATCCTGAAAAAAACTTTCAATTGTTCTATAGCGTTGATAGTATGTAGTTTGTTGCTACTGGCGGCTGAATGTGAAGATGTGATAAAAGACAACTTATACGCAGTAGTATTGAAAAAGAAGGCAAAAACTAACTAACTGATAAGACTGAAATCTTCCTCTATTTTTTTTTTTTTTATTTTTTATGTAAACATATAATACCTAAGCGAGAGAGTCTCTATATACATTAGTAGTTAGTTCATATATAAAAACAAAAAAAAAAAAAAAAACACAAAATAACAGCAACAACCAATAAAGTCAAGTAAAGTTAAAGATTACACCCATTTATTTCTTTTTACTTCTTTTTCTCACATTTCATTCATACGTCTTGAATCTGGTATTGATAAGAAGGTAAATGACTAAGTAAACAAAAATGGCGAATTTTCTGTTTCTCTTCTTCTTCTTTTTTTTCTTCTTCTCCTTTGCTTTTTGTTAATCATGAATGTAGAAGAAGAAGAACAAACGACATTATATACATACACACATAGTACACATAAAACTTTCATTCATTTAATCTAATGTATACGAAACTATACTACACTACACTACACTACACTACACTATGCTACATCACACTATTATCCAAGGTGGATAGTTGCTCCGACTTTCCGAGTTACGCTATCGTTTAAACATATTGTGTATTATAATTTATTAAATATGTGTGTGCGTGCGTGCGTGCATGCGTGCGTTCGTTCGTTTGCGTTTTTTCGTTACTTTCATATAATAAAAAAAAAAATAAAAAAAACCACTCAAAAAAAAAAAACTTTTTTTTTTCCAGTTTTTTACTTTAGTCCTTCGGTCAGCTCATAAACTCATATATGGAAGTAAAAGTTTGCTGGTTAAACACATCAACAACAACAAAACTAACAACGAAATTTCTTAATATTAACAGTGATTTGTTTTTTTTTTCTGCTCCACCTTAGAAGAGTAAAATTTCAGCTTAAGGCTGATGATAGCCAACCGACCCTATATAGTGTTTAGTCGTTTCACCAAAAAATAAAGAAAGAAAAAGTTCAGCATTTTTTCTCATAACCTGCTCTAATGTTTGATTTAGGGTTTGATGATGATGATGATTAAAAAAAAAAAAAAAAATGAAAAGAGAAAAAAAAATCCATTGCAATATACACCTTTTCATATATGATTTCGTGTTGCCGCTGGAATAGAACCGGAATTACTATACGAAAACACAATTTTTGTACATTAATGTAAAGCAGTTGTGGCCTTAAGAGATAATAAGCAAAGAGAGAGAGAGAGAGAGAAAAAAAAATAAATGAAAAACACAAACCGTACAAAAAGTAATTTCAAAAATGTTTCATAAAAATGTTTTTGAGTTCATTATACTCAGATTTTTGTGTATTTTTAGTAAAGAGCCAAATAGAAACTTTCAGTATATTTTTTATAGAATTTAAAAGGAAAGCAAAATTTCTGCAATCTTACAACGATTTACATTTAATTCAGGTTCAAATGAGTAAAAACATTACAATGGATCACGGCCTACGCCACATTAAATACACTACTAGTTCACGTAAAAACTTTTAAAATTAATTCGTTATATGGTTACAATAAGTAGTTGAACAAGTAGTCCGATCCGAACCATTCGTTCTCTTCTTGGCCTAAATTTCATTACAATATTTTAAAGGTGACGCAAGAGCAGGTTGTACCGCAGGAGCAGAGATGGACAGATGTTAGAGGGACAGATGGATGGAGACAAGCTTAGTGGAATCATTACTCTCTGAATCGATCGGGCTAATGGAAGGTGGGGGTGCTGCCTCCTCAAGTTCTTTCGGGTGTTTTATACATTCTCGTAAACTTAACACACTCTTCTATCACAAGAGGTACTAAGTGGTCGTGAGGTATAAAACGAGCCCCATTACGTTATGGCTGATAGATTTACTGCTGCGAGAAAAGTGAACCTGATCAGGACTGTCACATTTTTCGGGGAATCTGAATCCTGTCTTTAAGACAAGTTGTGACATAAGCTGTCGAGCCATGTCATCTTTCATGTCTAAGATGATGATGATAATGTTTCTGCACAACCTATGCATAGAGTATTTTCTTACAAGTTTTTCTTTCTGTTACACAAACAAGTTTCGATAGAAACAGCGTTTAACACTGATAAGGGACAGCGGTTTACGGATAGAGAATAATTTCTAATAAAATGCGGTATATGTGGCGACCGTTCACAAGGCCGCGCTATATTCGTAGTTTGCCTCCTTCGAGTTTATATCGATACATTTGGTATATACATATTATTTCGACGGACATACGAACTGGTCAAGGTCTTTGATTTAGTTACAATACAGCAGAGGCGTCAAAAACAGTTCACAGAGGTCTGTCTTCAACTTAATTATCTTACTTACACTAATCCCATCAAGACAGAAAATATAGATTTTATAATGTCATGGCCATATGCAACTAAAGCCAAACAGTGGATGGGAAAGGAGGTTTTCGAAGAAACCATTGCCAAAGCCTTTGAGACATTTAATGGCCTATTTTATTACGATGAATGTCGGAAAGATAACGTTTGATAAGCAACAATGTTATTAGAGATTCTTTATATATATCGCATAAATTTGAACATATTGCGTGAAAGTGCATTTTATGGCGCTCGATTAATGTTGCATTATGGAAAATGTTACTTTGTATTCTATTTCATATAAGTCAAGTATTAGTTTTCTGTGATCTTATTCTTATTGGGTTTCACCTTACTTTACGGATTTGCATTCGCATTCAATTCAAAAAAAATAATGGCTTTCGGTTTTACGCTGTTTTTTTTTTCTTATGCATCCATTTACGATTTTCCATTTGCACATAATCAGAAAACTTCAATCAAACGCTCAAGTGGCAATTTATAATGAAAAAAAAAAAAAAAAAAAAAAAAAAAAAAAAAAAAAAAAAAAAAAATAGAAAAAGACATTCATTCAAAGGGAACGAACGACCGGCAAGTAAACTATAATTCTTCTTCTTCTTCTTCTTTTTTTTTTTATTCTTTTCGGTGTATCTACGTGTATGTATTATAAGTATGTATATTCGTATGTATGTATGTATTTATGTATGTTTGTATGTTTGTTATTGAGGTATCCATCCATAAGTATATTTTTATGGAGACAAAGCCTTTGCTTTGTTGCTGAGGGAATTTAACTCACACCACCGTACGGTTCAAAGATCATCAAATGGTAAGAATGATTTAAGAGTGAAAGAGATAGAAATAGACACACGGAAAATTGTTAGCTATATAGATATTAACAAATGGATCACATGGACCCATGGACTATACGTTGTTTTATTTATTATAATAAGTATGCATTTACATATGCGATACGTATGTGCGTATGCAAAGGGATATGTGTGTAAGCGTTTGCTTATATATGTTATCATATTTCATATCTCAACTTTCATTTACGTTTCCATTCCTTTAAAAACAATGTAAACTCTTTGTATTATTTTGGTGGTACAGAAGAAAAGAAAAGAAAAGAAGCAAAGAAAAAACAACTCAAAAAGACTCAAAACAGTGTTAACGCAAGAGCACCCTTTTCTTAGCATTTAATGCATAGTTGTATGTTCAAGTTGTTGTTGTTGTTGTTGTTATTATTATTATTATTGCTGTTATTGTTGCTAGTTTGAATTACGTTTTCGTTTTTATAGTTTCTGACTTCGAGATATGAAATGAATGGTGCGGTGCTTTACTACTGCCATCATATCGTATATGTGCGTATAAGCACAAGAATTTTCTTATTTAACGTATCATTAGCACTTGGGCGGCCATTATAAAACTTTTTTAACGGTATGGGAATTCGAACGTCACGAGAGAATTTTATTTCGTTATTCATCTTTACCATCATACTCACTTGATTAACACCATTCTGCGGTTGTGATGATTGGGGCGATTGCGCATTAGGCGAATGCATTAATTCGTGTTTTTCAAGTTGATCGCGCGTTTGAAACATGGCCGTACAGTGCATACATTGATAGGGTCCATTATTAGTGCTGGTGCTCGTAGCGGAATTATTATCGCTGCCGCCAGTTGAGCCGGGACTTGAAGTTGAACAACGTATTGTGTCCATATCGTAAGATGATTGCGATTGTGGAACATGTGTTGTTGTTAAAGACGTCGATGTATGATGAGGCAGATGAGAAGCATTATGATGAAGATGATGTTGCTGCGTTTGTTGTTGTTGTTGTTGTTGTTGATGATGATGTTGTTGTAGATGAGCATGTCCGTTTGTAAAGGCTAAAAGTTGTGCTGCGGGTGAATTGTTGTTATTGTCTCCTAGCATGTCCCTACTAATTTGCGCTTGATGGTGATGATGATGCTGTTGGTGTTGTTGGTGTTGCTGCTGCTGTTGCATGGCCAATGCTGCCATAAACTGGGCAGCGGCTGCTGGATGTAAATTATGCGGTAAATGTGGTGTCATTTGATGTCCACTTGCCGCCTCATAACCACTTGGCAACGTTGCGGTCACAGCCGTGTTTGCTGCTATTGTTGTTGTTAGCTCTGTAAGCGATGTTCGACTGGGTGAATTGTTAACGGAATTTTGGGGTGATGTTTGCAAATCAATATTATTATTTTTCATTTGGCTATTATTGTTATTATTATTATTATTGTTATTATTGTTGTTATACGATTTGTTGTCAGCTAAACTGCTAAGATTACTTTCGTTGTCATCGCTATCGGCAGTGCCATTTAAATGGCGCTGTTGTTGTTGTTGCTGAGGTTGCTGTTGACCGAGCCGGTGCTGTAGGTGTGAATCCTCACGTGGACTAGGGAATGACGGCTCTACGTTTAGTTTATCATGAGGATGTTCGATGGCAATGTGGTCGCGTAGAGACTGAAAAAAAAAATAAATAAAAAACATAATAATAATTGAAAGGGAAATGATTGATTTTGAAGTTATACTAAATTCGCAATGCTCTATTTAACGCTTTGGGTTCGTTGATTTGGTCATAAATTTACAATCGCCATGCTTCGACTCTTAGTTGCAAAAATGAAAATTAAATTTGAACCTTTGAAAAAATGCACTTTATTCCCCGAAAAAATTTGGACTTATATCGGTTAACTTTATTTCTTTATTCGTCGTATTTAACTTGAGAGATATCTGTGAGTTTATAACAGGAGCTGCCCCTTATTATTCTCGGGCGGAATAGGTTGCGATGAAGCAACAAAATAGGTATAGTTCTCCTGTACGTTCATTTGACCCACATATATGTATATGTATGGATATCCCATTGATGACGGATTCTGTTAATCTCTCTTTATCTTTTATTCCCTAGACGATTTTCCTCCAAAAATTTATTTCATTTTCTTAATCTTTACTAGATTTTATTGCTTTATATTTTTATTTATGACTTACCTCAAAACCATTTAAACGCATATGGCATTGTGGACAAGTAACCATAAAATCTGTAGCTGGTTGAAGTCCCGGTGACGAGGTTGTCGTTATACCCCTCGAACTATCATCGTCTGTTATAGTTGAACTACTACCATGTTTACTTTGATGATGATGATGGAGCGTCGAGGCCAAAGAAGGAACTGAATTAAAACAAAAAACAAGAAGAATAATTTTGTTGTAGATTAATGAATTAATTAAGGAATTTACATTGCTTCATATGAAATTCAAGGAAACCAATTCAAATAGACAGATGAATATTTTCAGAGAATTTTATATATTTGAACTCTTATATATATAAAACATTTTACCTCTACAGAAAAAGCAAATCGGTTTATTATCGTCAGTAACCATAGCCATATACGTATGATGTCTTTGTACATACGTACATATATATATATATATATATATATATATATATATATATATAATTTTCTTAATCAAAACAACAGTTAAACAGAAATGAGCCTACATACCACGGTACGAAGCGTTCAAGAGATAAGCTTCAAGTCAAAGTCTTCGTTTCAAACGTAGTTGTTGTTGGTGTCTTTGTTCTTACTTTATAATTCCGTATTTAACTCACATGTGGCAGAAGAATGGGTTCGTATAAGAGAAAAGTACAAAAAAGCGAAAAAACAAAAAACTACAAAAGTATACACATACACAAAACATATATATACAGAAGAAGAAGAAATCGCCATTAAAAAAAAAAAAAAATGACAAAAAAAAAAAAAAAGAAATCTTCTTAGCAGACGGGGAAAGGGAGAAAAGAAACAATAAAAAAAAAAAAAACTGCAAGAAAGGTATTTCAAATGGTGGTGGTGATCTCATGGTTTATATATATATATATATTTTTATACGTTAAAGTCTGTTAAACATTAAATGTGTCTTACTTCTGGGCAACGTTAGTGTATAAGTGAGCACAACTTTTTAAAGTCAAGCATGGGCAGAGAAGAAAAAGATCACTTTTTCGTTGGTTTTTTTTTTATTTTTTTATTTTCTTTTTTTTTTTTTTTTTCTGTTATAGTTGTTATTGCTTTTTATATGTAGGCTGACACCGATTGTGTGTTATGTTTGTTGTACAGTGTGTTCTGAATGGAACAAAGTCAATGTAGGCATTGTGAGAAGAACACAAACACAGAAGTAAAGCATATGAAGGTGAGTTAAAGAGTAATAAAGAATAAAAAATGAAACAACCACGATGGCAACAATGATTTTTATACGATATTCAACTAAGAAAAAATACGAACGAGAAAAAAAAAAAAAGAAGAAGTAAACGTGAGTGAAGCCATTATTGAAAAAGATAAGTTTTGCTTCATCAAAATGGAGTTTCATTTAACATGTTATCGCTAAAGATTTAACTCTTTGTATATACTATATACATATAAACGTATAGATATGTGTGTGTATGTATTTTATATTTACATTTGAACATGATGCATATTTGTGCATAAAAATTTCTTCATTGTTAACATTAATTTCAATTGAGATAGTAAGACACATAATCATATCCAGACATATATATAAATAAATATATATATATATGCATATGCCCATATATATGCACACATGCCTGCCTGCCTGCCTGCCTGCCTGCCTGCCTGCCTGCGCTGTTACGCACATTTGCTCTTTGTTTCTTACACCGTACAATTTTATTTCAGTTTTTATTGAGAAGAATGCATTAAATTGCCTTTTTACTACGTTAACAGCAATTGTATGTACACGTATTTATATATATATATATAACATTTTGCTTTATACTTTTGTATTTGTTGTTTTTGTTTGTTTTGTGTGCGTTGGCTCTGCAACAGTGTATTTTAAAATGTCATTTGATCGTTTACCTTAATTTACCTCAATTAACAACCCTGTGCAACTATAATGCGGGCGCGCATGTGTTGGTCATGCTTTTTTTTCTTTTATTCATTTTTTATGTTCTTTGCTTTCGAGAACACCGAACACGAACACGAACACGAACACGAACAAGCAAGCGAGCATACAGTCGTTGAAAGTACCTTCTTTTTGATTAAAAATATCACGCATGCTCCGCTGCCAGCAATAAGCAGCAACAGCATGAATAATGTTTTTGTTAAATTAATCAAATTTTTTTTTATTAAATAACGACGATATCGAAGAACTAAAGTAAAATATGTTTAATTGTCTTCAGTTCGAGTTGAAATTATTCGCTCTTCTCCCCTTTTCAATAAATGCGGGCTTAATTTACAGCGGAAGGAGAATTAATATTATTACTATTACATACAACAACATGTTTTTTTCTTTTAAAATTTATAAAAAATATACTTGTGCTTTACATAGTCTGACATTCTTATTATTATTATTAGTATTATTATTATTATTAGAATTAATTTAGGCAGCGAAACGAATTCTAAGAATAAAGTCTTAAAGCACTGGCATAAGCATCGAAGCCTATCGACTTCATTGAAAGCTCTACAGCACTTGCTGTAGAGCTGATTTGACCTCTAAACAACCTCTGGCTTGTTAGGTCGAGATCTTCGCCTACTCGGCCATTTCGGCGCATAAACAATCTTAAAAAGCTATATATATATATAGATCTTGGAATTATCTCTAGAGTTGTGTCTTCCAAAATAAGGCAATAACTAAAGTCGTACCTCAGGTTCTGAAAATGATCTCAGACTAATCAAGAATATGTGTATGTATATATATATATATGTGATATTGATGGTAATTGAATCTAAGCTTAATTTCCGAACGAATGGGGAATGAATTTCATAAGTAAATTATTTGTAAATGCCAGGAAAGTTTTGATTGACCAAAGTGATTGGTGAGCTTAGTCGGAGTAATTGTACCCGATGCACTTTTTTTATACGGCAGATACCAAGCACAAAGGTATTATCTTCATATCTATTCATCTATCTTTTAATCCATTATCCTCAATCAAAAGAATGAATGCAAAGTTTTCGAAAACGTGCCCTCGCAGGTCGCTTGACGAATATTCGGTACAAGTTCTAGCTTGATATTAAAAGAATGCCATTGCGTATGGAAAACACTTGTGGAGTGCAACTGTTGAAATTTGAAATAAATCCAATAAATACCTCTGTCTTCAGGCCATGAATCAACGTCGAAATCACTACGGTACCGCGACTCATACATCTATAAATTCGTCTGTAAGTAAACATAATCGTATTGGAATTCTTTAAAAAAACTTTACCAGAAGATAAAAAATGTAGAAGAAAATGAAGGAAAAAGATTAAAAAAAAAAACTTGCAAAATATATTTATTTGAAATAAATGCAACGACGACTAAGGAGTTATATACGGCGGTGACCACATCCCGCATACTCGCGACAAAAACGCTTGGTCCATGTAAGATGTCCCAATGACTTTCCATATTAAACGTCCACCATAATTAAATTATAATTAACGCAGTTTATCGCCTTCTATTCTCCAAGTCCTTTCATTTGATGTCGACATCGAAGGTATTTTTAAGAAAACATTTATGCACTAAGTTGCGACGCCTACCACAATTAATTTACGCACTTAGCATCTCACATTCCAATCGTAGTAGTTGTAGAAGTCGATATTGCTTTCCGACCGGGGAAGTGCTAAAAATAAACATCACACAGACACACAGACTGACAGACATTGCTTAATCCATTCAGAATTGTACGCTAATCAAGAATATATATGTATATATTTCATAGGGTCTCTGGAACTTTCCTATGGAAAAGAAACTAAATGAGTATACACTCATCCTTTCTCTTTGTCCTCTATGTCCTCTTTAGATACCTAGATGTTCAAATGTGAATGCATCGCCTGCTGGATCGAGATCGTTTGCACGAGTGTTAAGTTTGTACGAGTGTGTACAATATCCAGGTATACTTGTGGTCGATCCATCTATTATTATACCGACCGATTCGGAATCACTTCCTATCCATCTGTCCACTTGTTTGTGTTTAAGCTATAGATCGCAAGTTTTGAGATATTTTGATGAAATTCGATGCATCGATAGGTTTTATCCCAAGGATGAATGTTGTTCAAAATGTTTCGAAACCGACCACCAAATGTTTCGGCTGCCTCCCATATTAAGCCTTATTTTTGGAAGTCATTATTTGCATTACTTTATTAAGCAAAGTTTTGTAGGATATTTAGTGACGTATCGCGGCCCTCTAAAGTGTTCTTACTTGTTTTCTTCCACTGCTGCATTTCTTGTGCTTTGCAGCCGAGTTTTGGCTTTTTTTTTTTTTTAAATATTTTTCGATGATTTCCTTGAGTATTTTTTGCGTCCTTCAAATTATTATTTTGAAGAGATTCGTGCACGCAACTCAGATTGTAAAACTGCCAAAAGCCTATGAATGCCTGAAGAAAGCTGTATACCTGCCAAAGCCTATGAATTACTTCCTGAAAAGAAAGCCCTATACCTACATATTGTATTATTAAATTTCGAATGGCTGGAGTTTCTAGAAAATCGTAATGATTGCGAGATTATGTTGTAAAAGGCAATGACATGAAAATTTGGTATTTTATCATTCCAAGCTGCTGCCATTGCTTTTTGATTAATTAAATTAAAAACTATTCTCATTAACAAATAATATTAGAAAGCATATATACATTGTAAATGTATTACAATAGCAAAAAGAAAAAAAAAAACGAAAAAAAAGAAACCGTAAATCAATGTAAGAAATTTCACAGGAAAAAAAAACCAAAAGGAAAATTTATATATTTACAAATATACACTAGTTTTCATATATAAATATGTATATATATATATAAATACAGGAATACATTATTTCATTTGGACTCTGTACTCAAGAAGGAAAAAGCGCCAACCAATTGTGCATATAGGGAATGACTCCATTTTCAGGCAGAGGAGTGTCAAGTTCTTTGTGCAAATTATTTCTGTGCCTGTATCTCTATCTATATACGAATGCGCGCGTGTATGTATATATGTATGTATGTATGTATATTTTTGTGTAAGTGAGTGTGTGTATATATGTGGTATGTAAATTGTTTGCCAATACTTTTATTTTATATATATATGTGTATGTTTTGTTTTTAATTTTTTATTTTATTTTTATTTTTAAGTCTTTCGTTCATCTGTGTCTGCTTTTCAGTGAGTATATATGGGTGTGTGTATTATTTACAATAAACGGTGTAACTTTTCGAAA